TATATTATATTTTTATTTAAATATTTAAATTAAAAAACAAAATGAAATAAATTTATATAAAATCCAAACCTTATCCTTGACTTGCATTTCAACTGCAGAACTTGGAAGATCATCTAATATTTGAAGCTGGTTTTCGTCCATTCTAACACCAATTTTTGGATTTGTAGATTTTTTCTTTTTATCTTTTTCAGATTTTTTATTTCTATTTGATTTAGTGCTAGTTTTTGTGATCGGTAAAGAACCAAATAAAGCATCGAAAGCATCTTTTTTTTCTGTGGTTTTTACTGCTTTCGAATTACTATTTTTTGTAGTCTGGGTTCCAATAGGTCCTACTCCACTTCCTGTTCCAGCACTAGGTGAATTATAATTTGTAGGACTCGGTGGATCGAATATTCCATCGCTAAGCGTCGATCCAGGAGAATAAGGAGATGACATATCTACATTATCCGTTGTTTCTGTCCCGGCATCATTTCCATTTTGTCCGTTTGTTTTTGTTTGCCCGGATTTCGAGCCTCTTAAAGATTTTCCTGAATTCGTAAAAACTGGCGGTGCCTGGGAACGATCGCCAGAACGTTGTTTTTGTTGATTAGTTGGTGAAATTCGATTTGACTGTAACAAGTTACGTTGATTATTATTTGAATTTGGTGCATTAAATACTCCACTTCTCTGTACTGCTGCAGCTACAGTAGCTAGAACAGGATTCATCACTGTGAAAGGATTATTTTGATTTTGCACATTTTGTTGGTTTTGTTGTATTTCTAAATTTCCGGTCGAGACTGTAATATCATTATTGCTATCATTATCATTAACATCATCTCTTTGTGGAGATGCTCTCTTGATTGTAACCATAGAAATGATTTTAGGCTTTTCTAGTTGCTTTTCTTGACTTTGCCTTTCTTGATTTTGATTTTCCTCTTCAAGAATACTATCATCAACAGAATCATGTTTTCTTGGAGATCTTCTTCTTTCATCGCTGGAATTTGCTTCTTGACTAACATCAGGTGTTGGTGATCTGGATTTAGTTGGATCAAATGGATCATAAGCATCTGGACTTGTTGGTGGAGATGTGGGAGGTTCTGGAGGAGTATTTGGTCCAATTTTTAATCTTAATTCTAATTCTTCTTGTGCTCTCATTTCTAATTCTTCTTCGACTCTTTCATCCATTTCTTCTTCTTCTTCCTCATCTAAAAGCGGATTTAGCATTGATGGTCGTAAATTACTGCTTTGTTTATTTATCGAAAATTTTATTTGTGGTTCCGGAGGTGTTTTTGGACCCTGAGAAATAAATTGTTCTCTAGGTGGAGAAGTTTGAGAAGGTTGACATTGATCTGACGTGATTTGTTGAATTTGTTTATCATCATCATCACTAAGAATTATCACATCTCTAGGAGATGGTGTCTGTTCCCGAAATGGAGATTGATCTAAATCAATTACTGCGACTGGTTTTTTCGTAGCCGCTATTTCAGCTGCTTTTGATTTTTTCTTTTTATCTTTTTTTGGCTTTGGAGATTTAGAACGTTTATCCTTTGACTTTTCTTTTTTTGAACGTTTTGGAGGATCAGTTTGAAGAGATTCTCTACGGCGACGTTTTAAAGGAGAAATTAGAGGAATTGTCTCTGGAAGTTCTGGAACAACTGTTTGATCATTTTCATTATCTTTATTGAAACATACACTAACCAAAATATTATCTCCACTAGCAAAAACCTCTTTTGATGGTGGTGGAGTCCTATTCCTTTTTCCTTTTCTCTTTTTTTCATCTTTCGTTTTTTTGCTTTCTTTTCTACGTTCTTTCTTCTTTTTTTTAATTGCTTCTTTATTTGTTAAAATTACAGTTAGATTTTTTGGCGGAACCGAAACATTATCTAACATTGGAGACCATTCTCTAGAAGTAATTGGTTCTTGTTGAACATGTTGTGGTGTTTTTGATCTAGATCTTGACCAAGATGGTGTCCATTGTGCACTCCAAGATTCTCTTTCTTCTCTTTCTCTAGAAAACTCTTGTTCTACAATTTTATCAACTTGTTCCCAATTTCTGGAACAAGATCTTCCTTTTGATCTTGATCGACTTTGTGCTTTTCTCTTCGAATGTTTTCTTTCTCTGGATTTCGAAGACTTTCTAGGTGATTTCGATCGAGATTTTTTTCTGTTTCTCGATCGACTTCGAGATTTGTACTTTTTCTTGTCTTTACGTCTATCGCGAGATCTAGATAGTGATCTTCTAGATCGTGATATAGATCTTCTTTGTCTAGATCTCGAGATTGATCGCCTGGATCTTCTTCTCGATAAAGATCTTCGTTTTCTAGAAACAGATCTTGATCTTCTTCTAGAAAGGGATCGTTTTCTCGAAGAAGATCTTCTTCTAGAAATTGATCTTCTTTTAGGCGATTTACGTCTTCCACGAGAAACAGATCTTCGTCTGGAAAGAGATTTAGAATAAGATCTATGATCTCTCGACCATGATCTTTGTAATCTAGTTCTAGATCTACTTCTAGAGCGAATCTTGGAATATGATCTAGAACGTTTTGACGAATTACAACTTTTAGATTTACTTCTTTGTCTTGATTTTTCTCTAATATCTCTACCATATTCATCTTTTCTAGGTCTTGAAGGTCTTTCTGCAACAATTTTTCTAACATCATATCTTGGTAATTCTTTTCTTTTTTCTTTCTTTTTTACTACTTCTTTCTTTTTCTTTAATTTTTCTCTTTCCTTCGATTTTGATCTTTTTTCTTTGTCTCTATAAGATCTTTCTTTTGTATTTTTTGAAAGTTTTTTCCATGCTACTTGATTTTCTGAAGCAATATTTTCTTTATTTTTTTCTGTTTCTTTACTTTTTTCTTTCTTTTCCTTTTTCTTCCGTTTCTTTTCCTCTTCTTTTTCTTTTTCAACTTTATCTCCTTCCTTCATAATTTTTTCTTCAATGATTTCTCCATCTTCCATTTCTTTTTCCTTTCGTAAACTCAATAAAGTTAACTCATCTTCAAAATTCATTGCTTCATCTGTTTCTGAAATAGCTTCTGTGCCTAAAACATTATAATCTACTGGAGTCCTACAACTATCTAAATCATCAGGTTTATCTTTTGTTGGTGTAATTGGCTCTAATCCACTTTCAATAGATGGCAATTGTTCGGAAGAAGATTTTGATTCTTTTAAGGGAAGTTCATCTTTGCAAGGAGTATAAGCTCCATCAGACTCCCATGTGTTTTTATCAATATCTTTCTCAATTATATTTTTTTTACTAGATTTTTCTTTTTCTATAGGAAATCTTTCTTCTTCTTCTTCTTCTTCTTCTTCTTCTTCTTCTTCTTCTTCTTCTTCTTCCTCTTCCTCTTCCTCTTCCTCTTCTTCTTCCTCTTCATCATCATCATCATCATCATCATCATCATCATCATCATCATCATCGCCATTTTCTTCTTTTCCTTTATCATGTTTATCATCTTTTTCGCTTTCATAATCATATGGATTTTTAATTTTTACTGTAATATATTCTTTTTTATTTTTTGATTCTTTTTTAGAATCTTTTTTTTCAAGATCAATTTTTGATGGTTTATGAAATAAAGTAAAAGTTTTACTTCCTTCTTCAGATAGACATTCACTAATAATTTCATTTTCTAATCTTTTAGGAGATAATTGAGTTATTTCTGTAGTAATGATTACATTTGAATCATTCTCTGTTGCATTATCTTTAGATTTTTCTATCCATTCTTTCTCTTTTTCTTTTTTATTTGTGTTTTTTTCTTTCAAATTTAAAGGAATTACAGGTATTAGAATTTCTTTTATATTTTGCTCTTTATCTCCTTTTAATTGAATTTCTTCTTCATATTTGCTTTTAGTAATTTTTTTTCGTTCTTCTTCACGATCAACAGAGGTTTCTTCTTCTTTTATAAGCTACGAAAATAATATTTATAAAAATAATGATAAGTAATTAAAATATATTTTATAAATACACAATAAATATTACTTACTTCGATTTCTTTTTTCTTATCATCATTACTCTCTTTTTCTTCCTCCTGTAATCCTAACAATCTATTATTAATCTTCAATTTAGAACCAATTTTAAATGTAATCTTTCCTCTACTATCATGAGAAATTTTCTTTGGTGGAATTTTACTTAAAGTTTGCCTTTCTTTTCTCAAAGCTTCAACATATGGGTCTGATGGTTCTGGAATTTCAGTTAAATCGCAAGCCTGAACATCACCAACAATAACATCATCATCATCTGGAATAGAAGGAGGAAGAGGAGGTGGTTGAAGCGGTCCTATTTGTTGAGATAATTGTTGTTCTGTATGCCGTGCTACATCAATTGTTTGAGAAGAATAAATAGAGAAATTTGGACAATCAGCTTGAGAATCTTCTTCTTCTTCATCATCATAAGTTGATAAACGAATAGATGTATCTGAAGTTTCTGCTTGAGCTATATCTTTTGCAATTTGTTCTTCTTTTTTTTCTTCCATAATTTCTTCATTTTTCTTTGTTTCACTATCACTATCACTATCCACAGAAAAAGGATCATACTTATCATTCTTTGGAATATCTTCTTTTTGACTATCATCGATAACTAATTCTTGATCACTATCTTTATCACTCTTAGAATTTTCTTCAAAATCTAAAAGTCCTGATGGAGGTTCTGGTGGTGGTAATAATGCCATAGAACTATTTTGTTGATCTTGAAGTTCTCCATCAGACTTTGTTTCAATATCGCAATAAATATCACAATCCTCTTCTTGTCTAATAGAGACATTTTCAATATCTTGTGATTGTTGCTCAATAGATTCGCTTCTTGGAGTATCTTCCGGTAAATTTGGTGGCATATTATTTTGAGGACGTTCATTAGAAACTTGTGGAGATCTTGGACGATTATATCTTTCAGAAAAAGTATGATGCTCAGATAAACCTTCAGCAAAATTAAATTGTGGTCTTCCTGAAGGTATAAAACGGAATCTATAAAAAATAAATAAATAAGAATAATAAAAATTTCTTAAAATTACATGATTAATATATATACAATTATATAAATACAATAAAATCTAAATGTTATTTTAATATATATTTTAATATATATATAATATTTAAAATAATATTCAATACCTTTCATTTCTAAAATGTTGAGGATTTCGATTTCTGAATGGAGGATTACCTCCAAACATTGGAGGTCCACAATGTTCAAAATTTGGATTATAAAACGGAGGTTGTCCAAAATCTCTTCCAAAATTTCCACCACTTCCTCCATAATTATGTCTTCCACTTCCACTTAAGGAATCTCTTCCATAATTTTGCCCTCCATGATTATGCCTTGTATTATCCCTATAACTACCTCTAAAATTGCCTCTGTTTCCTCCTCCACAGGGATTGTTATACATTGGAGCTTGTATAATTGATTCTGGATTGATCCTAGAAATTTCTAGTGGAGTGTCAATTCTAGAAACTTCTAATGAAGTATCAACTCTAGAAACTCTGTTTTCTACAATTGATTCTACTTCTTCATTTTTGGATAGTCCTTTTTCTTTTAATTTTTCTTTTTTCAAATCATTCAATGTTTCCTTTTCTTCAATTAAAAGAAGTCCATTTGCTTTTATAGTTACATTATTATTATTTGAATGCCAAATCTCTTGATCCTTTATTATATTACTTAGAAGATCAGGTTGAGGTTGTGGTTGAGGAGTAACAATATTTTTTAAACGTAAATGTCTTCGAGAAGAAATTATAGAATGTCTTTGAACAGTTACAGTAGGACCAACAATTGCATGATAATCTTCTGTATCTGATCTGCACAAAAAAAAAATTTCAAATTTAATTGATTTTTATAAGAAATCTTTTTAAGACATAAATATTTAATTAAAACTAATTTTATTATATTTTATAAATATTTATAAATTAATCAAAAACATACTTACTCCGGAGGAGTATAATCCAAATGCAAACTCTCTCCAAAAATACTAAGTCTTGAGATTCCAGCATTATATCGGGCAATGGTTAATGCAGATCTATCTGATATAATTTGCTGATTTCTAATACTAGGTAACAAACTAGGGACATTTTTAACTGGTTTACAAATACCCAAAGCAACTGCAAGTCTTTTTTTGGTATTAGTTAAAACACTGGATAAAGTTCTAGCTCGACGTCTACGATTTTTTCTCTATAAAAAAAATAAAATATTGTTATTTTTATTTAAAAATATTTATTTTTTATAACTATTTTTATTTATTTTATTATTTTTTTATAATTTGGATTTTATACAATAAATATTGAATATTTTATAAAAAGAAACTTTTATTAAAATTGTTTTTATCTTATTGATGTACATAAAATGAATATAAACGAGATTAAATACCTTTCTCCTTTTTGTTCTTCTTCTTTTTCTTAATGTAATTGAAGCTACTCTGACATGTGTTACAGTTTCTTCTTTTTCTCCATTTTCATTACATTCTATAATTCTAACTTCCCTTAATAGAGTTTCCTTACTAGAAACATTTTTAGATTTTCCAGATTTTCTTGAATTATTTCTAGTTTCATTTTTTCGCGAGCTACCTCCAGATTGTTTATTATTACTTTTCTTTTTAGATTTATTATTATTTGAATTTTCAGAATTATTTTTATTATTAATTCTTTTTCGAGACTTTCTGGAAATACTTTCATCACTAGAATCACTAGAACTACTTCTATATTTTCGTGATTTTCTAAAATATCTGTTTGAACAATTACGATCTCCAGAACCTAAAGAACTAGAGGCATTGCTTGGGGATCGACTCTGACTTTTATCTCCAAAAGACTCCAAACCAGATGAAGTAGAAGGTTGATTTGGATCAAATGGTATTTGACGAGTTAATTGTATATTATCATCTAGTTTATTTCTTCTGCAAATATAAATTGTAAAAGAAAAAAAAATTTGAATATACAAAAATTGTTATGCTTTATTTTATATTATATTTTAATTAAAACTAAATATAATTCACCTGCGAATAGTAGCTCTAACACGTTCTGTATGTCTAGTACGAGGTATAATTCTTGGATAAGAATCTAGCGCATTAATTCGAATTCTTCCATAAGTAACACCAAGTCTACGAGCTTCTTCTATTGGATTTATGATTTCGTTCATATCAATTTTGACCTAAAGATAAATAACTTAACTGTTATTTTAATTTTCAATGATAATTATTTTAGTTTTCACTTATATTTATTAATAGAATTATTAATATAATTATTATATTATATGTAATAGCTTACAACTTCTGCATTGATTTGTCTATTCTGAGAACATTCTGGGCAAAACCATTCTTCTATAGGTACTTCGTTCAATGGAGGAGTCAAACATTCTAAATGATAACCACAATCACAACCATCACAAAGAAGCATACGATCTTCTCTATTACTTTGATGGCATACTTCACAAAATGTAAGATCATCCAAATTTTCTTCTTCACTGGAAGCGACTTCAACTGGAACACTTCTTATTATCTGAAAATAAAATTAAAAATTAATTTTAATCAATTAAAAAATAAAGTTATTATTAAATGTGTATTACAACCTGACCACCAAGTTTATCTCTGACATGAATTATTGTAAAAGTTTGTCGATCTACTGGACAAGTATTTATATTTTTACTCCATTCAATTAAACATTCTAAACAAAAACAATGTTCACAGGAAGAAGGAGTGCCCAATTGCTGTCTTTTAAAAGGAAGTAAACAAATTGGACATTTTTCTACTTGATCATCATTATTATCTGAATCTGTATCTGATATAATTTTTGGTGGTTTTTTGGCTTTTGGTTTGCCAAGAATTTTTCGTCTGACAGGAGATTTTTTTTCTAATTCTGATGAACTACTCCAGTCTGATTGCCATTCTGAAGTTTCACTACTTTCTCCTAAAAAATAAATTTGATAAATAATAATAATTAATAAATTAATTTAAATAAAAGAAATTGAAAATATTCATAAAATATATGTTTATTTGAAATATTTTTAAACTAACCAAATTGCTTGTATTTACTAGTGTTTGAACTGCTGCTTTCATAATTTAATTCATCTTTTGCAATAACCCTCTAAAAAAAATAAATAAACATTTATAATATCATATATAAATATATTAATACTATCATTATATATTATATATTGTATAAAGTTTGTTATAAATATTATACATGATTTTATATTATTACTATAATATAAAATCATGTATAATATTTATAACAAACTAAATATATTTTATAATCATATATAATATATGATAATATTTGTAAGATACAATATATAATTACATAATTTATTTAAAAGTTTAGGAAAAGTAATGAATTTTCCATCAATAAAATTTATTTTATTTTATAATAAATATTGCACTTTTTATTATA